TAAATTGTATTAACAGAGGGATACAATCAAGATCAAGGGAAGTGCTAATATCACTCTATAAAACCTTAGTAAGGTCACACCTAGAGTACTGCATCCAGTTTTGGTCACCACACTATGAAAAAGATGTTGAGACTCTAGAAAAAGTGCAGAGAAGAGCAACCAGGATGATTAGGGGATTGGAGGCTAAAACATACAATGAACGGTTGCAGGAACTGGGCTTGGCTAGTCTAGGGAAGAGAAGGACCAGGAGAGACATAATAGCAGCCTTCCAGTATTTGAGGGGCTGCCCCAGAGAGGAGGGGGGTCAAGCTATTTTCCAAGGCACCTGTAGGTCAGACAAGGAATAATGGATGGAAACCGAACAAGGAAAGATTCAACCTGGAAATAAGGACAAACTTTCTGACAGTGAGAGCAATCAACCAATGGAACAGCTTGCCCTCGGAAGTTGTGGGAGCACTTACTAAGTGTGTATGGCCTTACTAAGGTCATCACTTGAAACTTTCAAGAGATTGGACTGCCATTTGTCAGAAATGGTGTAGGGTCTCCCGCTTGGGCGGGGGGTTGGACTAGATGACCTACAAGATCCCTTCCAACTCTGATTATCTGTTAATCTGTTAAATGAATGATAGTAAGTCGAGGACTACTTACATCTGTATTGTTTGATTGGTACAACTCCAGGCTGGTAATCCCTCAATAAAATTGCACTTCTTACAAACTGAAACAATGATCAGTTTTGCAAACATTTGAACACAGTTTTTCCCAAATTACCATAAACGCCATACCATATGATTTTTTTCCAAATCATAGTTTTTTTTTCAGAATCTTTGACAGGGTATGGAATTGTCCATATTCTCCAAATCACAAGAAAGCAGGACAAGAAGCAATAGATGGAATCTAATCAAGGAGAGATTTAACCTAGAAATAAGGAGAAATTTCCTAACAATTAATCAGCGGAACCACCTGCCACCAGAAGTTGTGAGTGCTCCAACACTGGAGGTTTTTAAGAAGAGACTGGACAGCCATTTGTCACAAATTCTATAGGTTTTCCTGCTTGAGCAGCGGATTTGCTAGATGGCCTCCAAGGTTCCTTCCAACTCTTATTCTATCTTTAAGAAACACTAGCGAATTTCAGGGCTCAAAAACCTGGTTTTGCTTCGTCCTCTAATAATGAAGTCCTGCTGGCTTGAAAAACCTAATTTATACTGCAAAACTTCACTCTTGCCATTATGAAATCAAGGAGTCATAACTTTTAGCACACTTTTAAAAAAAGGAAAAGAGAGAAAGCAGCAAGACTTTAGCCAAGTTCCTGAAATTAATTCCAACAATTATGGAAAGCCGCTTTAAGTGGCATTCTGCAAAATGTAACAAACCTGATTTATTGACCGATCAATCAATAAAGTGCCCAGAGTGGATTTCCAAGGTTATTTTTCTACCGGATCGCCAGACTGCTGTCATTCAACGGAGAGCAAAGCAGGAAAGATTTATTTCAAACAGGGCTTGCGCAAAATGTAGAGTTCCGTGAGGATTTTATGGGGTTCTGTTTAAGAAATAAAATTCACTCAAATGCTTCTGATTTTCTATCGTTGCATCAGTTTCTCCCAAGTGTGATTTGAGACCCCTTGCAAATCTCTCCAAACATTCTCAAGTTTGCAAAATAAAAATTATTTGCCCACCTACACCGAAAAATAATACAATATTAACATTTATTTATGTATTTCATATTTCTTAACCTCCCTCTCTCCGTACCACTGCACAAATCAAAGCAAAAAGATTTTGGGTGAAAATGTATATGTGGTTAGAAAAAATGTTAAGGCAGCATATAGATTTTAAGCCAGAACTATTTTTGTTTGGCATAAGACCAGTAAAATATGACAGTGAATATATATTTGATATTATATGTTTTAACAGCAGCCAGAATTGTATTTTGCACAAGATTGGAAAAGCGAGGAAATACCTACAGAAGAAGATGTAATTAAAAAAATACTGGACTGTGCAGAACTGGACAGATTAACAATGAAGATAAAAGAAAAATAAGACAGAGTACTTTCAAAGTTGGGATTTATAGAATAGAATAGAATAGAATAGAATAGAATAGAATAGAATAGAATAGAATAGAATAGAATTCTTTATTGGCTAAGTATGATTGGACACACAAGGAATTTGTCTTGGTGCAAATGCTCTCAGTGTACATAAAAGAAAAGATACATTCGTCAAGAGTCAAGAATCATAAGGTACAACACTTAATAATTATCATAGGATACAATAATCAATCAAATCATACTAGGAAACAGTCAATAAAAACTGTTAGGATACAAGCAACAAAGTTACAGTTATACAGGAGGAGATGGGTGAAAGGAAGAATGGGAGGATTAATAGTAATAATAGTGCAGACTTTTTAAATAGTTGGACAGTGTTTAGGGAATTATTTGTTTAGCAGAGTGATGGCTTTCGGGGGGGAAACTGCCCTTGTGTCTAGTTGTTCTGGTGTGCAGTGCTCTATAGTGTCATTTTGAGGGTAGGAGTTGAAACAGTTTATGTCCAGATGTGAGGGGTCTATAGATATTTTCACAGCCCTCTTTTTGATTCATGCAGTATACAAGTCCTCCATGGAAGGCAAGTTGGTAGTAACTGTTTTCTTCTGCAGTCCTAATTAATCTCTGGAGTCTGTGTCTGTCCTGTTGGGTTGCAGAACGAAACCAGACAGTTATAGAGGTGCGGATGATAGACTCAATAATTCATCTGTCGAACTGTATCAGCAGCTCATTTTATAACGGTTGGACAATAGAGATAGAAATTAGGAGCTTGAGATGTAAATGAATTGACCCATTCTCTTTGTATGCAAAGAAAAAAAAAATAAAGAAGCATACATACATACATACATACATAAACAATTTAAAGTGGTAGTAACAGCAAATGCGTCCATTTTAATGTTTCATATGGTCAATATTGATAAATTTAACTTTTTATTTTACAATGAAAAAGTACTTTTGGGCTACTCTGAGATTCAACGTTGGAAGGGGAAAAGATTAAACACTGCAGTAGAGTTTTGTCTCATTAATTGTTCAATGTTTTTACAAAAAAATTACAAAATTAAACACAGTATCACAGCTTGAAAACCCCTGTTGTAGTGCAATCTGTCCCAACTCAGGCCCCCTCTCTATAAATATGGACTTCAAGTCCCAGAATCCTCTAAGCACCCATGGTGGGTGGAGAATTCTGGCAATTGTTATAATCACTATGGAAAATGTAGAATGGGAAAAAGTGCTTTAATAAACGGGATGTGGTCTCAAATTCCCTCCCTAGCAGACAAACCACCACCAAATGCTGGGATGTCGTCATTTCAGCTGTAATTTAATTAAAGCAATTTTGTGTTTCTATTTGTGTGTTTCCTGGACTACTGTTCATAACCTGTTATGATGGGCCACCAAAAGCTTGTGCATCTTTATCAAGCTAAGACAGGGATGAATGTGAAGAACTGGCAGATATCCTATGCCAGTTTTCCTCAACCTTGGGAACTTTAAGGGAGGTGGATTTCAACTCCCAGAATCCCCTAGCCAGCATTGAATTCTGGGAGTTGAAGTCCACACCCCTTAAAGCCCCCAAGATTGGAAAAATACCATTCTGTACTGCCTTAATAAAGCAGCATTTTTCTTGACTTCTAGGTGAAGGAAAGAAAGCGGATGTGTAAATAATTCTAGGTTAAATCGGCGTTTCTCAAATTTGTCAACTTTAAGAGATGTGGACTTCAACTTCCAGAATCCCCCAGCCAGCATTTAATTCTGGGAGTTGAAGTCCACACCTCTTACAGTTCCCAAGGTTGGAGAAACACCCTTCTGTACTGCCTTAATAAAGCAGCATTTTTCTTGACTTCTGGGTGAAGGAAAGAGAGCGGATGTGTAAGTAATTCTAGGTTAAATTGAGGCTTCTCAAACTTTTGCAACTTTAGGACAGGTGGACTTCACCTCCCAGAATCCCCCAGCCAGTGTGTCCACATGCCTTAAAGTTTCCTAGTTTGAAAAACCCCAGCTTAGATCTTGGCATCTTTGACTATAAGGTTTCAGCAGGGTGAAACAAAGTGTTGTGACCTGTTGGCAGCTGGCCCCTCCAGTGAACGAATCACAGGAGGCAGCGGCCTGGGACTCAGGATCAGCATGAGAGCTCCTAGGGGGAAGAGGGAATGGAGCTGGCAGAGACAGACACAGAGGCAGACTGTTGAGGTAATTCCCCGTTAGGAGAATGAGCGCATACAGGGAGACATATTTGAGAGTAGTGTTTGAATAATACACACAAAGCACACAGATACACTGTACAGTAAATGTAGGTTTTTACTTCCAGAAACTTTAAGCAAAGTTCAAAAACAAGCAGTCCAAAGGTCATTCACAGGTAAATCAGCCAGTTTTCAATCCAGGGATAATCCAATAACAAATTCCAGTGTCAAAAACAGTTCAGTATCAGACTTACATCAAATCCAGGAATATCAGTCAATTAGGAGGAACGGCAATACTCTCCAACAGAAAGAAAAACAGAGACTCTTCTGAGACTAAGACTAAACAACTCAGGTTTCTGGCTCCATCTTATGGCCGTTTGAGAAACCACAACCAATTAGTTTTTTGCATTTTCTTAAAGAGACAGTATTAAAATGTCTATCCTGTTTATATATTTCCAACCCAAATAGCTGTTAGATGACTTGTATTCCTAACACAGACCCCCAGGTCCAGAGGTGGCTGATGAGGAGGAACAGCTGGGTCCAGTGCCTAATGCACAGCTGCGCAGAAGGCAGGAGAGGAGAGCAGTGGAAATCTATGGGCCGGTCCTCGGGACAGAAGAGCCACCACTGATAGTGAAGCCCCACCCAAGCTCTGGAGATAAAAGGCAGAGGGCGGAAACAAATAGATGCGGCAGACAACTATTCATCTTCCGACCAGCCGGATTTGTTTGCCTGCGGTGAGAGGGAAATTGCTGGGGCTGCCGGCTCTCCTAATAAAGGAATATTTGAGTTAACTTCAGAGGGTTTTTGTCATATTTGGGGAGCTGGGTCAGAACTCAATAATTTCAAAATTATGTCTTTGTGTTGTGGCGATGTGAGCGGGCAACAAGAAGAAAGAAATCCAGACGTTTCTATTTTTACTGTGTGAGACATTTATTGTGCACCGTTTCAACTGTCCACAAACGAACTGTGCGAGCCGCGGCCTCCTTCAGTGTTTGTTCAGTTCGGCCAGCATCCATCGGCGGTTCTGAATAATTTCATGCAACTTGGTGTATTCTTCTACTAACTTCTCAAATTCCGGCCCTAGGATCTCGTATTTCGAAAGGACATTGCGGAAAGTGGCTAGATCTATTTCTTCCTTGCTCAAGCTTTCCTGCAGTTCGTCCCTGGAGAAGAATGAAAGTGTCATGCCCTTGTTAGAATCTACTCCGTGGGCTCTGGCTCCAGAAGTTGTGGGGGAAACTGGGGAAGGGCACAGGCCGGTTGGACATTCAGAGGAAGGCCTAGGCCCATCCCCTCTTCATCCTAGGGCATGCAGGGAGAAACGGATAAGGGAGAAATGTGAATGGCGTGGTCTACGGGGGAGGAAAAGGCCTTGATTCCCTTCATGGGCTGCAGCTTGTGAGGACTGTTTAAAAGAACAAACTGTACATGGGCCAATGCTGGAAGCAAAGCGTGAAAGTATTTCTAGTTTGTTAGTTCTTATCTGAGTTCTGGCTTTCAATATCTGTGGACATCTTCAAGCCCTTATCCTGCCTTGTCTCATTAATTGCTTCAGTGTAGTTTGTGTTGTTGTTTTTTTCTATTTATAATTTATATGTATTTTGAGTTTGAATGGAAGTTCTTCCTTTTTGCAACTGTTTGTGGGGAAGTTTTTTTCTCCTGTCAATGATAATTGGACCTTTGAAGCCAAGTTGAAGGAATTAAAGGGACTTCCCCTGTTTTTGTGACTTTGTTGCTTTTGTATCCCATCCTGATAAAACGTACACAGGTAGTCCTCGGCTTATGGCAAGTTCATTTAGTGATCACTCAAAGGGCCCTGAAAACAGTGACTTTAGGACAATTTTGGCAGAGGATCGACCGTGGCGTTCTACGTCAAAATTCAGACGTTTAGCAACTGGCCTGTACATATGAAGGTTGCAGTGGGTCCGGGGACCTTGTGATCCCCTTTTTGTGAACTTCTGATAAGCAAACTCCATGGGGAAGCCAGATTCCCTTACGCGCCGTGTTACTAACTTTAGTGATTCCCTTAACAACGGCAGCAAGAAAGGTTGTAAAATGGGGCGAAGCTCATGTCGAGCCCGAAATCGACATAGATGTAGCCATTTTATTTAGCTCTATATTCTCATCATACATTCCTTTCATTCCTTTCTCTTTGCTGGTATAAGGCGGGAGGGTTTCGGCTCGCCACCTTCTTCAGGTAGGAGGAATGGTTAGATCCGTGATGGCAAACCTAGCACACAGAGCCATTTCTGCTGGCACGTGAGCCGTCACCCGGAACTGATGCACTGGGACGACGAAAAGGTTAGCCATCACTGCGTAAGATAATGAAGATTGTTTTTGGCTAGGTGACTTTCCTTCCCGCAGGAACAGACCTGCCGAGACCTGGAGGTGGAAATTGAAGACACCAGGCAACATTGATTTAACTCTATCGGGGAATGTTGACTTTTGTGGGTTGTTCCTCATTTACAATGTTACAATGTGGGGTAATTCGGTTTGTGTCAGATCCAGAATTATAACAGACTTTGTCCAATTTGATGCTTACCTAAATAAAAGAGATTTGTTTTGGAAGATGGGGCTTTGCTAATTTCTTTTTGAATGGGTTTCATGACTTGGAAACCGGACAGCTCACCTCACAACTGTCTCATTTAGGAACAGAAATATGGAGCTCAACTGTGGCCGTAAATCCGGGACTACCTGCACTCACTTCTAACTACACTCGTGGGACCCTCAAGATTCTCGCGTCAGTGCTCCACCTGCCACCATAAAGTTATTTTTTTTTCTCCCAAGCTATGCAGAAACATCACAGTGGTTGGAATGGGGACTGTCTAGTTTAATGAAAAGAAGGACTAGGGGAGACATGATAGCAATGTTCCAGTATTTGAGGGGCTGCCACAAAAAAGAGGGAGTCAAGCTATTCTCCAAAGCACCTGAGGGCAGGACGAGAAGCAACAGATGGAAACTAATCAAGGAGAGAAGCAATTTAGAACTAAGGAGAAATTTCCTGAAGGTTAAAACAATTAACCAGTGGAACAACTTGCCTCCAGAAGTCATGGGCACTCTGTCAATGGAGGCTTTTAAGAAGAGACTGGACAGTCCCTTATCTGAGGTGGTATAGGTTCTCCTGCTTGTACAGGGGGCTGGACTAGAAGACCTCCAGGTCCCTTCCTGCTCTATTCTATTCTATTCTATTCTATTCTATTCTATTCTATTCTATTCTATTCTATTCTATTCTATTCTATTCTATTCTATTCTGTTCTGTTCTGTTCTGTTCTGTTCTGTTCTGTTCTGTTCCATTCCATTTCTTTTCTATTCCATTCCATTCCATTCCATTCCCATTCTGTTCTGTTCTATTCTATTCCTATTTGTATTCTATTCTATTTCTGTTCTATTCTTTATTTTATATAACAGCATCGAACATGTTACTTTAAGAAGTAATATTCACTTTAAGAAGAGATCAGACAGCCATTTCACTGGATCATTATAAGGGCTTCTGCTTGAGCAGGGGGCTGGACTAGAAGACCTCCAAGGTCCCTTCCAACTATTGTATTGTGTATTGTATAGTATTTTGCATTGTATTTTATTGTATTGTGTGTTATATTGTATTTTGTATTGTATTGTATCCTCTTCCATTCTATATCTTCCCTTCTCTTCCCTTCCCTCCCATCCTTTCATCAGCTCACCTGACCATCTGATGCACGTTCACTATCTCAGGTGTGTAAGTTTCCAACAGGATCTTCATTTTCTCGACCCTAGAAGCAGCAAAATAGTTTGGAGTGGGGATTGGTAGATGTGAATACTCCCAACACTGGAATTTTTTTTTTTTTTTTAAAGGGACTTTTGCCATCGATACAGATATCTGGAGAAGGTTTCTAGAAACCAACCACTCTTTAACAACACGTGGAAAGTTTGCCCACTACAAGAAAAGTCTGTTTAGGAGTGTTTTAATTGGGTAAACCATTTTTTTTTTTTGACTTCCAATTCAGGAAAGGAGCTCACCGTATCTTCAGCAACAAAGCATTGGTTTTTATCTCCATATACTGGATGAGGACCTGGTCCAGGTTGGACTGGGCACCAAGGCGAAACTCCTGGGCCAATTGTTTCAAGAGGCCCAAACAACGCCCCAAGACCTGAAACGGAACGAGGAACAACAACGCAAAGAGACAATCACAAAGGAAGGCGTGAAACACTGTTTTTAAGTTATCGTAAACATTCGTCCCTTGCCCAGGTCAATCTTGTGGGGACAACTGCATCCTTTCCTGGAACGGCAGTTTCTTCTCAGAGTAATTCATGCCTGAGACGCCTCAAGTGAACCAATCTGCTTTAGTGGCTAAAGTGCTGGGCCAATCACTAGGAGACAGGGAGTTCTAGTCCCGCCTTAGGCATGAAAGCTGGTGAGGTGACTTCGGGCCAATCACCAGGAGAGGATGAGAGAAAGAAAGAAAGAAAGAAAGAAGGAAGGAAGGAAGGAAGGAAGGAAGGAAGGAAGGAAGGAAGGAAGGAAGGAAGGAAGGAAGGAAGGAAGGAAGGAAGGAAGGAAGGAAGGAAGGAAGGAAGGTGATAGATAGATAGAGACGATTAAAGGGCTGGCCTAGAAACCAGGTGCCTGTGAATTCTAGCATGTTAAAACAACCCAGCGTACCTCACAGAATTCTTGTGAGTAAAATTGATGTGGGAGGAAGAAGGAATTATCTGACATGTTTGCCTTAAGTCATTATAAGCAATCGTAAAAGTGGGATAAAAATCCAACCGCATAAAAATCTCAATCTAGGCGCCGTCCTGACGAAATGAGGAGAGCTCCAGCCTTTGAGCCATAATGAGTTTCGCTGGGACAGACGCTACCAGACACCCGCTTGAGGTGAGGGGGGTGGATTTTACAGCAAGGATCACAGAAGCAAATGGTACGTTATCTGGGATTCAAACCATCCCGGCTTTCTCAAAAATGCAAACAGGGTTTATTTTAGAAGCAATCTGCCCGAATGCAGATTGCAGACTTTAAAAGGTTGCTGTTTAAAAGCTTGCTCTAATCTTGGCATTGCAAAAGAAATTGGAGGTTCTCTATGCTGGGCAGAACTGATACTTTGTGGGTGGGACGGACTTTTTTTCCCCCCTTACCTGGGAATAAAATGGTTTCTGTTGGTCCAGACACCCGTTCAGCTGTTCCTCCTGAGCTCTGGCCTCCTTCAGTTGCTGCTTGTCAAAGGCTAAACGCTCCGCCAAGCTGCCAAACATAATCATCTGAGTTGCAGCTCCAATGTCTCCTGCAGGAAACAAATTTGGAGGCGACAAGAGAGACAGAATCACAGAGTTGGTGATGGAAGGGACCTTGGAGGTCTTCTAGTCCAACCCCTCTGCTCTAGCAGGGCAGCCTATACCGGACACATGGCTGCCCAGTCTCTTCTTAAAAACCTCCAGTGAAGGCACCTGGAGGCCAGACATGGAATAATGGACAGAAACTGATCCAGGAGAGATTCAACCCGGTTATAAGGAGGGATTTTCTGACAGGCAGAACAATCAGCCAATGGAACAGAAGTTGCCTTCGGAAGTTGTGGGAGCTTCATCCCTGGAGGCTTTCAAGGAGAGACTGGACTGCCCATCTGTCAGAAATGATATAGGATCTCCTACTTGGGCAGGAGGTTGGACTAGATGACCTACAAGGTCCCTTCCGATTCTGTTCATCTGTTAATATCTGCTGAATATAACTCCTCATCGGCAACAGGAAGGGCATCTGGCCAGTAAACACTCAGCTCCATTCAGTTGCCCAAGCTCCATCCCGCAAGGGATCATGGGAGCTTCATCCCTGGAGGCCTTCAAGGAGAGACTGGACTGCCATCTGTCAGAAATGGTGTAGGGTCTGCTGCTTGGGCGGAGGCGGTGGACTAGATCCGTGATGGGGAACCTATGGCACGCGTGCCAGAGGTGGCATGCAGAGCCCTCTCTCTGGGCACACGAGCCGTCACCCCAGCTCGATTCTGCTGTGCATGCGCACGCCTCCCACAGGCCAGCTGGTCTTCGGGTCTCTGCCGTGCATTCGCCAGGAGGGGGCACATCGTGGGAGTCATATGTGCATGCGCAGAGGGGTGGGAGAACATGCATGGCAGGTAGGGGGGTCACACACGCATGCGGGGTGTGTGGTGCACACACAGCGTGCACACGCATTGCATTTTGGAGATGTGCGCACGCTTTGGGCACTTGGTGCCGAAAAGGTTAGCCCTTCCAACTCTGTTATCTGTTCATCTGTGCATTTAGTGCCCCCCCCCACTCCCAATTTGGGATCCTAGCCTGCACCCTCGGTTTCACCCACCAGCACTGTCTTCCTCCAGGCCACCTCATACGTATTATAATTCCAAATTTACCAGTGTTGGGATGATAGTAACTGAGCAATTCCAAACAGTTGGCCTTCAGAGTCTTCCCCACCTCGGCTGGGAGCTTTTTCTGCATTTCTTCCAGGTCCTAGAGAAATACAGACAGAGAAATGTATTCTTTTCTCTGACAAACTTCAGTTGATCACCTGTGCTTTCTGGGATTAGATAGTTCTCCAAATCAGGGGCTGGATTCTACCAGTTCGCACCTATTCGCTTGAACTGGTTGTTAACATTCTAAGCAGTTCGGAGAACCGGTTGTTAGAAGAAATTACTGGCCTAATCCTGTAAGGGAGGCAGGAAGGAAACATTCTGGTGTTGCTTACAGAAACTGCCTCTCGGTTAACCCTTATTACATTCTTGGCAGGACTAGACTTCCTGTCTCAGGAACTTCTCTGGAGTTTTTTCCCCCTCCTTTGCTGGTACTTTGCTTGTGTGGAGTGACCATTCAAAGTTACAATGGCACTGAAAAAAGTGCCTTATGACCATTTTTCACACTTACGACTGTTGCAGCATCCCCACAGTCATGAGAGGTCAGGCGAGGAGATGCGTGCCTTGATGTGAGTGATATTGAGTTGGCCACACCCAGCCAATTACATGACCATCAACCCATGTCCACCAACTAAGCCATGCCCACAGAACCGGTTGTTTGAATCCCACCCCTGCTCCACGTATGACCCCCATTGAGCCCACAATTTCCATGGCTAAACGAGACAGCTGTGAAATGAGTTTCGGCCCGTTTCATGATCTTCCCTGACACCGCTGTTCAGTGAATTGCTGAGGTTGTTCAGTTAGGAACAACGGTTGTTAAGTGGATCTGGCTTCCCCGTTGACTTTGCTGGTCAGGAGGTCGCAAAAGGGGAATCGGGTGAGCCCCGGGACACTGCAACTGCCATAAGTATGAGTCAGTTGCCAAGCATCTGAATTTTGATCACGTGATCAAGAATCGTGTGAGAGTGGCGCGGTGGCCTAGAGGCGGGGCTCTCACCTCACAATCAGGAGGCTGTGAGTTCGATCCTAGGTAGAGGTAGATGTTTCTCTCTCTGGGCACAATGAGAATATATCTGCTGAACAAAACTCTGCATTGGCAACGAGAAGGGCATCCGGCCAGTAAACACTCAGCTAGCTCCATTCAGTTTCTACTCTATCCCACAAGGGATTATGGGGTCGTTAAACAATGATGATGATGATGAAGAGTCATGTGAAAGGTTATGTCACTTTTTTCCTGGCCTTTGTAACTTCTAACGGTCATTAAACCAACTGTCGTAAATCAGGGACTACCTGTATTAAGGATGTTATTGTAGACAATGTTCTTCTGCTCAGAATTAAGACTTTGAAGCATATTCTTCACGGGGGTATCCATTTTTTAGGAAAACTGGAACAATGAGTCATTTCACGCAACCCAAGTTGATTGAACTTGTGACATTACAACCAGACCTCAACATACAACCGTAATACAGCCTTGTCCACCACAGCCGTAAATTGAGGCAGTTGTAAAATGGGTCGGTCCTGTGACCGACCTGATTTTACCTTTTTTAAGTGGGGCCATTAAACAAATCTGCAATCGCTAAGCAAACCAACGGTTCATCACTAAGAGCACAGGGTTGCCGAATAAAAGTCAATTTTTGGCAGCAGCGTTGTAAAAAACACAGTTCTTGGGCGCTGAAAAATGGCTGCCATGTTGCCAACTTCAGTCATGTGACTGTGGAGACCTGGCCGCTGGAACTTTGAATCTGGATAAGAACCCGGAAGCAGATCCATCGTAACTTTGGTCGTAAATTGAGGAAAACCTGTAGTGTCAATACAACATTGTGGCCTATCTGGGTTCCTAAAGTAGGAGTAAAGCTCCACCAGGGAATATTATAGGTAGTCCTCCAGTTACAAAAGTTCACTTAGTGACTGTTTGAAGTTACAACGGCACTAAAAAAAGGTGACCTATGAGCACTTTTCACACTTATGACCATTGCAGTCACATGATCAGAATTCAGACGCTTGGCAACTGACTCGCATTTACGACAGCTGCCGCATCCAGGAGTCATGTGATCGCCTTTTGCGACCTCCCAACCAGCTTCACTTAATGCCCATGCTCCTAACTGAACCACCGCTGGGATTCACTTAAGAACGGCGGCAAGGCGAAACGGGGCACAAAATTCACTTCACCCCAGTCTCGCTTCGCAACAGAACATCCGCGGTTCAATTCTGGCCATAACTCGAGGACTACCTGTAGAGCAAAGGAAAATGGATTTTACGCCGTTTTGACAGGACAGGCCTCTCTCTCCACAAGGAACGGGGTTGGCCCTTACCTGGTGAGGAGGCAGAAACTCGGTTAAATGCTGGGCTTCCAGGCCTAAGATATTCAGACAGACATTTTGCTTGGGCAAACAGAGAGTGAGCGTCCGTTTAAGCTCCATTACTAGCAGCTGCTGGTCCAGGGTTTCTGAGAACTTGAGGGCAGGAAAAGAAGATTTAAGGGGGGGGGGGGGAAGAGAGAGATAAATAAACTTCACCCAACCAGAACCTTCCCTCCAGACAACACATTAAGCTGTAAAATGTCTGGTTGGCTGAGCCACCGAGCCAAAGACAAACAAATCCAATCAAGGCTTATATGAGTTGGCTGTTAGGTTAAGCCACAACGGGGCCTGGGTTTTGCTTTGCGATTTGTGTAAAAACATGCCAGCGAGTGACTTGTTTAATTATAACGGACGGTTGAGCCGTGTTTGATGGCTGTAGCTTTTTTTTAAATATATATAATAATAATGTTTTTTATTTTTCAGTTTCAAAAATACATACATTCCATTTTTTTTTCTCAAGCAGTGTGTCATCTTTTGTGCTACGTTTTTCACCATTTACAACTTCTTCACATTAATATTATTTCTCTAAACTTAGAATTAAGATTCATCAAAAAGCTAAACAATATACAACTCTCCTGGTGATAATGCCATATTAACATTACATCTCATTATTCTCGTCATAGGTATATTAACAACTAGGTCGATACCCGTGGTTCACTACGAAACTATGTGGTCGGGCTTAGTTTTTGGGGAGGAAAATAAGGAGAAAAAAAATTCTGCCTCTGTCTACCAGCATCCATTGGTATTCATCTGGCTACCGTCCTGTCTGTGTGAGAGTTGAGGGCTGTTTGGAAACTGAAACAGTATTTGCTATGTGAGCAAGGAGGCAGCAAGGAGCCTGGGCGTGGCTTAGCTCAACTGTTCTGTACTAAAGCTGCTTGGTGCTGTGAAACTAAAACTGAAACCGAAACTCGTCTCCTCTGCTTGTGTTTTGCATTTGGAACAGCGTTCTTTTCAGGTGGGGAGTGGGAGTAGAACTCCTTAGCATCAGAGCATGTTAATAATAATATATGAAATACTAAAGCTCTGATGGTCATTTTGAAAAAATCCTTTCTTAGTGAGCACCTAGAAGCCAAGAGGAACATACGTGCCAAATTTCAAGTTTGTAGGCCTTACGGCTCTGGAGATTTTGTGATGATGCGTGATTGGTATTTCGCTTTTATATAGAGAGATTGTCATCTTATGCCTATCTTTATCTTATCCTATTTTCTGTTCTCCTTTATTCTTCTTCACTTCCAAATTCCTCTTTTATTATCTAACCATTGATAAAATGTTTCCCATACCATACAGTACTCAATTTGGTCTTTCTCCTTGATTGCTACTGTTAATTTGTTCATCTCTGCACAGTCTAATATTGTCCTAATTACCTCCTCATCTGAGATAGGGCCATCAATTCTTCTTTTTGAGTTTATGTATTTTTAAATCCAGACAGTTTGAATAGTTTGAACAGTGCATTGTCAGGGCATATCATTTACAAAAAAAAAATCAAGAAGAAACAAAGAGATATTAACATGTATACTAATAACAATAATAATAGTGTAACAAAGTCATTTTAACCAGATTTCTCTTTATATTATCTTGTTTATAATTCTGTAAATTATATCAACATGTTTGTAACTCTTTCTTGGTGGCTCTGATCGATGGCTATCTACTACTACTACTATTATTATTATTATTATTATTATTATTAATTATTATTTTAATCCTATTATTTTTAATCCTAGCTTTTCTCGGAGAGATTCCAAAGGATGCTCTGGGGGTTTCCCCCCCCCCCCCCCCTAATTTTTATCCCGACGGCCGAGAAAACAACTTGCTCGATGCCATTCGACAGGCCTCTGGGGCCGCAACTCAAAAGCTTATGGATGGAAGAGACTATTCATAGCTCAGGGTTGAAAGGAGTCGTCTTTGGTGCCCTCTGAGCTTGGTGGTTTCCTTGAAGACGTTTCATGACCAAATTAGGTAACGTCATTACTGCTAAAAGGGATGGGTTTATGGAGAGGAGGAGGAGGAGGAGGATTGTGGGGTCCCCGGTGGTTTGTGAGCTTAGAGTTGTTATCTTGAAGGCATTTCATTATTAAACTAGAAAACACCAATAGTACAAGTGAGTGTGGCTTGTGGAGATGAGGAGGAGGAAAAAGGAAGAGGAGGAGGAGGAGAGGGGAGAAAAGAAGGAAGAGGAGGAGAAAGAGGAGAAAGGAAAGGAGGAAGAGGAAGAGAAAGAAGAGGAGGAGGGAAGAGAAGGAAGAAAAGAAAGAGGAGGAAGAAGAGGAAGAGGAGGAGGAAGGAACAACAACAACGGGGTCCCTGGTGCTCTGAGTTCGGTTGTTGTTGTTTTTTGCAGACGTTTAATTACCAAACTAGGTAATACCATCAGCGCTCAAAGTTCTGAATCAAGGAACCAAGAACACTCCCACGAAAACTCACAGGGCAAACCCCACTCATCATCACTTGCACTGATGATGTTCCCTAGTTAGGGTAATGAAACGTCTGCCAGAAAACCAGCAAGCTCGGAGAGCAGCCAGGACCCTCCGAAAGATTCTCTGCTGCACATCAGCATTTCCCCTCTTGGCTCTGAATCGCATTAAGAGCACTCCGGTGTTGCCTTTTTCAAAGTTACGACAACACCCTGACTTACCGGCCGCTTTTCAAAAGTTACGACCTTTGCAGCATCCCCACATGGCCAGCAGGATCCAAATTCGGACACTCGGCCACCGGTTCATACTTACGGCCGTTGCGGTGTCCCAAGGTCACGTGATCCCCTTTGGCGACCTTCCGACAAAGGGCGGAGGGGGAGGGGGAGGGAAGCCGGGTTCATTTAACAACCGGCTGACTAACTTTTATCCATGGCAGCGATTCCCTTAACCGCCGGGTCAAGGAAAGTTTGTAGAACAGGGGCAAAAAACTCACTTCTCCCAGTGTCTCGCTTAACAACAGAAACGGCGGGGTCAATTGTGGTTGTAAGTCACGGACACCACCTCTCTCTCCCCCCGCCCTCACCCACCCGTAGGCCGCTTATCCTGTGCCGGATCCAGTTTAAACAGAATGTAATTAGAGAGCTGACATCAAACCCTCTGGCCAAACCAATTAATTTTTATTCCGCTTTTCTGCTCCCTGGAAATTAGACCGCCAAATCTGCTCTCCGCATGGGATGGTTTAGTTGCTTGCTTACGTAACGCTCCCTTGCTCTTGCCGACTGCCCAGGCCAGCTTTGTGTACTGCCTTATCCAAAGGGTTTCCTGCCCCCACCCACCACTTACATTTTGTTCCAGGAGGGTGGGATTGGCTCCCGGCTTCAGCACAATCTCCCGCAAAAACCAAAGGAAGGTTGCCGACTTTAACCAGTTGGCACGGTGCGCCTGCAGCATTTCCCTGGCCTGCGAGAGGAGGGGAGGGGTGGTGGAAAAGGGGAGGAAAAAAAGGTTTTAAAATAAGGGCGAACGGGCACTTGCTCAATTACATGAAATAGCCGCTGGCAGGAACGGTCCCCAGGCTCCGGCCCAAATAACCTTGCCAAAGAGAGGAGCCGCCATCTTTGACTACAAAACAGCGGCGGGGTGTGTGTGTGTGTGTGTGTTCCTGGAGCTGTCCGGCAGTCACTTCTTTTAGTGTGGGGGGCCTGCATATACATGGGGAAAGAGAGATTGAGAGAGGGAGAGGGAGGGAGGGAGGGAGAGGGAGGGAGAGGGAAGGAGAGAGCGGGAGGGAGGGGAGAGAGCATGAGAGGGAGAACAGGAGGGAGATTGAGAGAGAGGGAGCGAGAGGGAGGGAGAGAGGGAGGGAGAGGGAGGGAGAGCTGGAAAGAGAAAAAGGGAGGGAGAGAGATTGAGAGAGAGGGAGGTTGAGAGGGAAAGGGAGGGAGAGATTGGAGAGGGAGGGAGAGAGCGAGAGGGAGGGAGGCAGCAGGAGGGGGAGGGA